ACCAATAGATACCTTAAATTTTTTCAAAAAAAAAAAAAAAAAAAAGGGAGCCCAGCCCCCGTGCGCACCCCATCACGCGACCAGGCGTGCCCCGCGTGCACGCACAGCGCGCGACCAGCGTGCGCATCCAGGCGTGCGATGGCTTGGGTTCCTACAATCCAAATAGAATAATGGAAAAAACCCATAGTCATGAAACATTTTCAAACATTGTAGCACGTTCAACCTTTTCTGTAAATGCTGTTGTATGTTAAAAGACCAATTAGAAACCATTGTAGCATAAAACAACATAGCAATGACCACATTAGCTGATAAATGTGAAATTTTGACATACTTGAAGCAACATTTTCACTAACAACATCCGGTTCCAACTCCAAACCTGGCTCTAACACTTGCAAATTTTAGTATCATTTGCATTCAGTATCCCAAATTTTAGTATCATTTGCATTCAGTATCCCATGCAATGGGCTAGGAATTTCTTTTCCGTTCTCCCTGTTTCTTCAATGGCAGCATTACTAACGGAGCCTATGCCCAGATGAACCAAAACACCAGAAACAATTCATATACATTACAGTGAACCGAAACTGTAAAATTTGTCCTATAATCTCAGCTTTTGCACAACTGTTTCTCATCAAGATATTCAGCAATAAAGATCAACATAAGGAAAAGGGTAATGCAGCGATTAGCAATTTCAAGGAACTCAACAAAACTCCAACAGATTCAGAGTAATCTGGAAAAATAAATTTACGAGATCAAATGGCAGATTTTGTACAAAATCTGGAAACCCAAATCGACATTCGAAACCACCAACACCAAATCAACATTCAAAACCCAAATTTCATCAAGCCATACACCAAATCGACATTAAAAAAAAAAGTTCAATCGAGCACTTACAAATTCAGAGATTGCGAGCTCCAACCAGATCCGCCGGTCTCAGCCAGCGACGAACAGAGATTTTAGGGACTCCGCCGCCGACAATTGAAGGAGATAAACGGAGAGAGGGAGTCCGAGAGAGAGAAGAAAAATAAACAGAGGGAGAGAGCTTTGGCTGAGAGAGCAAAGGTTGAGGCTGAGAGAGGCTGAGGGAGGGTGAGGCGAGAGAGCACGAGAGGAGGCTGGAGGCTGAGGCGAGAGAAGCGAAGGGTGAGAGGCTGAGAGTTTCAGGGGGAGGGGCTGAGGAGAAGTGTGCATGAGGACGATGGAGAGATCGGGTTATTTTGGGAATAACCAATATTTCATTAATGGCTCCGTTTAGCTTCTTGCAGAATCTGAAATCAGAAGCAGCAAATGAGCTGCTTTTGATTTTAGATGAAAAATAGCTTCTAGATTTTTTAAGAATCTATTTTTATGTGTTTACCAAACACATTTCAAACTTCAGCTGAAAAAAAAAGTGCTTTTGGCTTCCCAAAAGCATTACCAAACGGAGCCGACATGTTATGAAACCAGACTGATTGTTCTATTTCTATAGATATTTTTATTCTCTCTTTTAGTTTGCGGTTGTTTTGATCTTTTTCCAACTTTCATTCCCAAATTTCCATATTTGACATTTTTTTTTTCTAATTGGATTATGCATCTTTATGATTCTAGACCATAAGTTACATGGCTGAGCGTGTTGTTGGGCATGGATCTTTCGGAGTTGTATTCCAAGTAAGGCTTTCTATCATTTGTGTTATGAGAAACTGCAGAAATTTTCTATCTCCTGAAAACACTAGCAGTTTTTGTTAATCATTGTCCCATTTTGTTTCTTTAGGCAAAGTGCTTAGAGACTGGTGAAACTGTGGCTATAAAGAAGGTTCTTCAAGACAAGAGATACAAGAATCGTGAGCTGCAGACTATGCGCCTTCTTGACCACCCTAATGTTGTCTCTTTGAAGCATTGTTTCTTTTCAACGACTGAGAAGGATGAGCTTTATCTTAATTTGGTACTTGAGTATGTTCCTGAAACTGTTCATCGCGTGATTAAACACTACAACAAGTTGAATCAAAGGATGCCTCTGATATATGTTAAACTTTACACGTACCAGGTATGCATTCAGTTAAAGAATTATAGTGTCTTTCCATTTATAAAGTGTGTTTGTAAGAATTCTGTCTTATTGTTGTCCTTGGAAATTGTATAGATTGTGATTTTCTTTTCTTTTTTCCCCCCTCTTGCTAACAATTCTTATATCTGCAATTCCACATAATTTGGCAGATATTTAGAGCATTATCATATATTCATCGCTGCATTGGAGTGTGTCACCGGGACATTAAACCACAAAATCTTTTGGTACGTTACTGTACTCTTTTTTTTAAAAAATAAAATATATGCTCCCAAGTATTTATCCATTTAGCTACAAAGCTGCAGCTTTCAAATGCAACCACATCTCTGCCAGTACTTTTGGTAGTAAGAAATTTTTTTTGCACTCAGACCTTTTGTCTTACTGCAGGTAAATCCGCATACCCACCAAGTTAAACTGTGCGACTTTGGAAGCGCAAAAGTTTTGGTAAGTTTTACCACAAATTCTATGGCCCCCTTTTTTTTTTTTTTGAAGTACTGTTAGATATTTGTCTTTACGTTGAAACTATAGTTATCTGACTTTACCTAATGTTAATGTCTTACAGGTCAAAGGAGAACCAAATATATCTTATATCTGCTCTAGATATTATAGAGCACCTGAACTCATATTTGGAGCAACCGAATATACTTCTGCAATTGACATATGGTCTGCTGGTTGTGTGCTTGCAGAGTTACTTCTTGGTCAGGTAAGTATTTTTCTGAATTTCAGTTTTTGACTAACCAACTGTTAGTAGAAGGTAATGTAGGTATTCTTTTCTCCTGTCCTGCCAGCCTCTATTTCCTGGAGATAGCGGGGTTGACCAGCTTGTTGAAATCATCAAGGTAATCGACTCTTCAGTAAATATCCTTCAGATTTATAGTTAGTGTGTTATTCAGTAGTGCCTTTACAAGAATTCAAGTTGATAGCCTGTCAATTATCTATTTACTTCACTGACAGCAGATTCGAATCTTTAATAACTTTTGGAATTAGGCACCTTTTTATTCATCCATAAGCAGTGACTACTTTTGTCACTAATCGTGTGGATCGTGATGATTTGGAAAAAGTTTTTATATGGATGTATACATTTTTTTTTTTAAAAACTTGGTTGACATTGAGATTGAGGCAACAAGCTGCTGCTGTGCATCAATATTTTGTTGGAAATTTGGAATTACCTGACCCAGCATATTCCTATTTTGTAATCATTAATGAAGGTTTGGTTAATAATTGCACTTTGTTAAATGAAACTCTTTGTCCTTCTCTTTTGAGTAGGTCTTAGGCACTCCCACAAGGGAGGAGATTAAATGCATGAACCCCAACTACACGGAGTTCAAATTCCCACAAATTAAAGCTCATCCATGGCACAAGGTACTTTTATATATAAACATTATTGCGTTTAGTCCTAAAGAAAGGATTCCAGAAACTTATACCTGTTTTCCTCCTTAGATATTCCACAAGCGCATGCCTCCAGAAGCAGTTGATCTGGTTTCAAGACTACTGCAGTACTCCCCTAACCTACGGTGCACAGCAGTGAGTATTTACTTTTATAAAGATGTTTGAATAATACATTCTTCATTACTATTGTGCCATGTTTATAATTTGTGGTTGATTTGTTTGGAATCTTGTGCTAATTAATGTCCATTTTCCAACTTTGTCTTACATGTGGCCATTTTTATCGTGTTTTCTACGTAGCTTGATGCTTTGACCCATCCTTTCTTTGATGAGCTCCGTGACCCAAACACGCGCCTTCCAAACGGGCGTTTTCTTCCACCACTATTCAACTTCAAAGCTCATGGTATGAATTCATACATTTTCCAGACAGTTATTTCAGAATCCTTATTTATTCTTTGATTTCGTTCCAAAGTCCCTGACCCTTCGATGTTGTGCCGGTATTAATCAGAATTGAAGGGAGTTTCAGTGGAGATTCTGGTGAAGTTGATCCCGGAGCACGCAAGAAAGCAGTGTTCCTTTCTTGGCTTGTGATCAATGTGAAATGTAACAGAATCTGCTGAGCTGATTGTACCAAATGGATGCTATGCCTTGTCGTTTGTCTAATATTTGTTGTTCCCTGTCTATTTAATGTACCTTGATATATTATCACCTTGTTCTATAAAAGCAGATATCTAGCATGTATTCTACTTTAAAATATCTTTGCCCAAACCTCAATGGGTATTATGATTACCCTGTTGCTGTATCTCGGAGATGTAACGACAGATAGAAGATGAACATGAGCATTCTATAACGTTTGTTTGTGTTGGTTTTTCTAGTAGACAATCTGTGGGAATTTGTTCTAATGTTCTCTGTAATGGTATTTCCAATGTAGGTTTGTTGAATTTGGCCGTTTCAGTTGGTGCAAGATGAAAATGTTGATCGTCTTTTAGGTTTGTTTTGTAGCATGTAACTAGTTTTGGTCTTAGCTATCCGTTATGAATTAGTTTCTTGTCTGCTCTAGCCCAGTAATAAATTTACAGATTGAACCTTATTTGTTGTAATTCTATAAATGTAATGTGCGAAATACAGTTTTGTTGTGGTAATGTTTGATATCTCTTTCGCCTTTACGTGTGCTCTCTTTCTTACTCTTTTTTTTTTTTTTTTTTTTTTTTTTGGCTGAATAAAAAAAGGGACCATTGGGGTTTATTTTATCCCTCATTCCCTTTGTCATTTTAGAAATCTCGGGATCACAAATTAGAATGGAAGATATTTTTTATCTAATTTTATTGGAAAGATGAATTCAGTTTTCACTTGTGTCACTGCATTCAACGCCATATTGGTCAAATATGGGTCTTAAAGTGATGCTGCGGTTACGAGTGTGCTTGTTACATAGTTTTGTTTTGCATTTTTGGTAAGCTAACGACTAGGTTGCAGTTTTTTAATTATTTGGTTAGAGCTCAATGATGTCGTATTTTGCTTTACATTGCACTTGATTATTTTATTTGATTTTATCTTTTAGGGAAGTGATTCCGACTGATGACAACTTGAATGGCCGAGGTATTAAGGTAAGAGTTGTCCAGTTTGTCATGAAGTTATTGAGGATGTGTCTCATGCCTTATGGAGTTGCCATCGTGCCGATGAGGTTTGGAGTGCTTTTTCTTTATGGGGCTTTCTTAAAACCTTTCCTGGCGGCTCCATTAGCTCCATATGTGATTTTATATGTGAAAAAGGACGGAAGTCCATATTGTGATTTTACATGTGAAAAAGGACAGAAGGATGATGTAGAGATTTTGTGTACTTGTGTGGTACTGTATTCGGTCTGATCGAAACTCTTTGGTACTTAATGGGCGGATAGGCGATGTTGCTAGCTCTATTGAAAGGGCTGGGAGAATTTTGGGTGACTGCCAAACCAGCTCCTCTTTGAATGCGTGTACAGGTTTTGTTACACGTAGGCCTTGTGAGAAATGGACTCCACCTCAATCTGGTTTCATCAATGTCAACGTAGACGCTGCAGTCAAATCTCATTTGGACTTTGTTGGAATTGGTGTTTGTGTTCGGGATGATCTAGGTCTTTCGGGACTTTTTCAACCTTTGTGGCGGAGTGCCTAGCGGTCCGTGAAGGGGTGTGTTTTGCTATGGAAGGCGGCTTTCGTAATTGGGTTATCGAGTCGGATGCAACTAATGTGATTAATGTTATCCGATCTCTTCACTTATTGAAGATGTTTGTGATGCTCTTCGTCATGCAAACAGTGGTTCAGTTTACCACGCTCCTCGACAAGGAAACTTTGTAGCACGCTGTTTAGTAAATTATGCTTGTAATCATTCTGACGACTTTGGGTTGGTATTTCTCCGAGATTTATTACGTCTTACTGGTTTTGTACCCGCGTGTTGCAGCGGGTGATAATTCTGTATCATACATAAAGTCGATAGTTTGAATATGTATACATGATATTGTTATAAGAACTTGTTTGTCCATTTTTTAGCTGCAAAAAACAAATCTGATGAAATTAGGATTGATAATTGAGGAAATTGCGAATTTATTCATTTGGGAGCAGTCATATTACCTGATTCTTGAGCGTGGGTTGTTCCGTTTCTTTTGATTAAGAACTTATATAATAAAAAATGGTTTAAGACATGTGCCTAGAATTATAAAGAATATTTTGTATTCATGGATAATGTATATTCGCAAATGAGTCTTACCTTGTTGCCGATTTTTTTGGTCTGGTGTTTGTGGGTGCATTGATATTGGAGTTGATAATTGTTTTTGAGCAAGGGTTGAGATGGAAAAATATTATTTAGATATATATTTGGAATAATGAATATTACTTTTTATGTGCAGTTGATATGAATTAGTAAATTTGTTTTACTTTGTGCTTGGTGCTGCGGTGGCTGATATTTGTAGCAGTGGTGTTGCAGGCATAGTATCTTCAAATATTTTTGAGGCAATGGCAGTCATTTGTGCTCCTCTTTATTGAAAGTATAGTTGGAAGATTTTTTTATATCCTCTTAATTGGGTGATGGCTGAAGAGAAAAATAGGGAAAGTAATTGGTCCAAATTGTAAATTTGTCCAAAAACCATAAGGTGAATTAAAGGGGGAGAAGAAAGTGCAAAAATATTTTAAGTCATTGAAAGACTACCACGTAGGTCAGAAGAACAGCTGAGGGACTATAATAGTAGGGGACTATAATAGTAGGGGAAAAAACACATCGTTAGAGTATAGAGGAGGAAAAGGACTTGGAAGCATATGCACAACAAAGAAAGAGGAAAAGCTAGGTAAAAGACAAAAGGAAAAGAATGTCTTAAGCCAAATCCAGGAAATAACACAGATTAAATAACAACAAAGGGAAAGATATTACATCAACAGGTAAGTTGTGATCTTAGTATTTAAAGTAAAAACATGAAAAATCAAAAGTAGTGTGAAATCACAGAAAAACAAAAGGGTTGGAATAAGTAAAAAGAGCAAAGGAGACGTGAGGAAAACCTTTTAAATTGGATGGGATAAAAAATAGGCCGAATGGAAATTCAAACGACGGCAATTTTTGGACAAATTACATAACACTTAAAATGTGAAAATTGTAGTCATCATTGCCACATGAGGGGAGGGGAAAAAAGAACACGGAAAAAGGAGCAAAACAATATCAATTCATGAGACGCAAAATGGCCGACAGCCCCTGCAACAGAATAGTGCAAGAGGAGCAAAACAGTATAATGAACCTATGAGAAGCAGAAGGACCAAGCAGCCCCTACACCAAAGAAAGGAAGAGAGGGAGAAAAAGGGCAAAGTCGGGATTCCACTACACAAATAGCATTAACATGGATAAACGTGGACAACAGATTTTAGGTCTCCTCTAGTACATGTATAAGGTCAATCCTAATAATTAGTGTTAGTTTACCAATTCATCCCAAAAGCTTAAACTGTTAGGAGGTAGACCAACAATAGTTTTATACTTTAACACTCCCTCTCACGTGTGGACTGGACAATAGGCAATCATGTGAGTAAATTAATTAGAAAGCCCAACACGTGACTATTTAAGCCCGAGATATATTAAAGACCCAACACATGATAATTTTAAATGAGGATAAAAAGTGTAATTATGGGAGTTTGAACTCAAGACCTCTCGCTCTGATACCATGTTAGTTTACCAATCCATCCCAAAAATTTAAGCTGTTAGGAGGTGGGTCAACAATAGTTTTATACTTTAACAATTAGCAAGTAAAAAAAGCTTACTAACAACCTTTGAGAACAAAAGAGAATCTTGCCCAACGCTTTCTATTGACAACATTTATTAATAGGGCTAAAAACAACTCATTTTAACATTAACCATAAGGTGCTAATACTTGCAGTGTGCGTAACAGAGGCTAAAGAGCTGTGGAAAAAAATTATTAGAGATACCTCAAGCGCTATAAATCTCGCGTTAAGTCTGGAATGTCAACGAACCGAAGTTCAACAACAATGAGCGATAAAGAACTAACAGAACAGGGCAATGAGCAGTAGCAGACTTTAGAAAATACAAATAATCAAGTAAGCAAATGAGTAAATAAGTAGGTGGGAAAAATAAACTTAAAAAGCCAACAGATATAGGGTCCATTCGGTTCGCTAATTCGAGTTTTTAATTCGAGTTGAGATGTAATGTTGTGTGAGAGTTTTTTACTGTAGCAAAAAAGTTAGATGTGACTATTTCTGAGAGCTTTTTACTGTAGCAAAACTCAAATTTTAAACTCGAATCAACAAAAAAAACGGGCCTATAGATATAATAATATTTTATGTTGTAATCGTGGCTCAAATATGAGACATTCTCAGCAATGTGTGATAAACAGGCTGTGGCCTACTGAGGGCAACTGGACAAAGGGACAGGAGATAGTGTCTATCACACAAATTATGGCTTGAATGCGACACAAAATGAATAAGTGGATAACATAGAACCTTGTCTAAAGACTACCAGGTGAATTAAAAGAAAGAGAGCAGAAAAAAAAAAATAGAGCAACACTAACAAAGAGCAGTGTCCCTGGCTTTTTTTTTTTTTTTTTTGGTGCCCCACAGTTTTTTTTTTGCGTCAAATGGTAAGAACATGATAGGGAAGCAAAGGCCGGGCAGTGCAAAAAGAAATTTTGAAACGCTTATAAACAAATTTCCAATGAAACAGTAAAAACGAAGGGGCCAAAAGCGGTGGAATAAGTCAAGATAACAAAGGAGAGAGTACCAAAAAATTCAACTCGAAAATAGTAAATAGAATCAGAATTCAAATAAGAAAAACATATTCACAGAAATCTTTGAACAAATCACATTAGACTCAACACAGCAAAATAAATTACTATCATCATTGCCACACTAAAGAACTTACCAAAGCTAAGGTAAATAAAGATATATATATATATATGTATGTATATGTATATGTACACACATAGAGAGATGACTAAGAGACAAACAAACAAGTGAATGCATCACTATTGTGCATTGACCAAACACAGAAAAATAAAAGCAGATAATAAAAGGCAAGCAACAAACATTAACACTGTTATAGCAAATCAATACATCCAATGTCAGCAGCAAGAATTAAATAGCTGTGGATAGAGATTATTAACAGGACCTAAAACGGTATAAAGACTGTTTTAAGTCTAAAATATCAGCCAACCAAACGTAAGCAAAATGAGTAAGAGATACAGAGATAAAGAGATAAATGAGTAAATGAGATGAAGCGGTAAATGATGGACAATGAAATAGAGCAGTAAATGATGCGTGGTGAGATAGGGGAGTAAAGAGGCCAAATGAAAGAAAAAGAAACAGGGATATGCATGTTAGATTCATATGTAGGAACATTCTTAAATACAGAACGACGGACCAAATGCACAGCCTCTAACAACAGGACACGTAAGAGGGCAAAGTCAGTTCACAAAACGTAAAACTCCCTAACAAAATAATAAAAATAATGCATTACTGAGAATAAGGAAAAGCAAGAAAAAAGAAAGAAAACGTAAGCGCAAGGAAAAGAGATAAGAAAAAAAGAAGGTAGAAAAAAAGAGACTAGGCAAAACAATTTTTTCCCCTAAATTTCTCACCCA